AGGAGACCTACTCTGCCTCGAGCTGCTCCCCCCTGATGACACGTAGTTTGCGGAGGAATGAGAGGGAGACCAGGGCGTAAGCTCTGCGGATGGTCAGGTAGCCTGTGATCTCTTCAATCTGACCCAAACTCGCCTCCAATTCGGCTGCTATGTTATCTATAAAGACGACAGTTCATCACATAAACAGCTACCAGCTGATGAGAGCAGACAGAGGTCAGGTACATACAGATAAAGGCTCAAAAAGTTTTAACAAAGGGGGGAAAGTCAAGAAACCCAAGTAATGGACAAGAAGGCGACACGGAGAGAGAAACAGGAAGTGGTACTCACTGCCTCCTCGAATCTTGATGATCATGTTGCCTTTAAGAATGGTGCACCCCCTCAAAGCCTGGGCCGACGTTACCGAGTCGATGGTCTTGTTTCCCACACACTCTTTAGGACACAAGCCCGCACACCGTGAGCAAGTCAGCCTACACAGAGAAACACACAACATCAAAATCCTAATGAACGAGCTTTGTGTGCGAGCCACGACTAGCTGAAGGTCAGGACTTCTGGAGACAACGGGGACGCTGCAGAGAAACGCCTTCGGTTAAAGCAAACAAAACTGTTTTCTGAGCGAAACACACAGAAAATGCCTCAAATGTTTCTGCGTGCAGTTATCAGAATTGGAATGAGGCAGGAATGCTCGGTGACATAGCGGAGCGCCGTGGGTCGGAGCCGGGGATGACATCGCAGTTTTAAACAACAAGGACGAATCTGTTCAGCGGAGTTTTTCTGAGGTCTATTCAGACTTTCTACATGGGCAGACATCCATCTGCTCTGTTATAGCTGCTGGTTCTTCTCCCTTTGTCCAAAGGAAATTAGAAAACAAACACGAGCCAACATTCAAGTGTCTGAAACTGCAGTTCCTCTCATGTCCACTTGAGGCTGGCTCCAAGAATGAGTCAATCCCCACAGACGTCCAGGTTAAAGGCTAAAACGGAAATGTGGATTGACGACGAAATGGTTAAAATCTGTCAATATCAGTATTGACCTCCAACCGGTATATCGGTGTATTGGTGGGGCATACTTTATATAATCATATATATCTGTTTTTAATGGAAGTGACGGTGGTGAATCAAACAAGAAACCATCAAACATGCGCTCAATAAGCTGCTGCACTTATGTGAATCTCTAGAATTCTCTCAAATGATTTAATAACCTCTAAAATAAAATGGTTTATTTAACAGGATTAATGTTCTGCCGCTAGTTTTAGTGCAAAAAATGTCACAGAGAAAAGAAACAAGACTCGCGCGCCAGCTGCAGCTCTCAGAGCGATGTCCTCCCACTGCAAACGTGCTTTTGCACGTAATCATATGCACACACACACGCGGCGATGAGGCCTTGATAGCGCCCTTCAAGAAAATCATTCACAAAAGGCCTGGCATGTGCAGCGAGTAGTTTGGTACGTGCTGCTCCATTGACAAATGAGCACTGTTTATTTTTTTGATGCACTCTCAAAAGAGCAGAATCCAGCTTTCATTTCCACCCTCGATGTCCCCACCCAGGTCTGCTTTAGCCATACACGCTGCACACTGGCTGAAGGGCAAGGAAGCCTCCATGTATACTTCCCCATTTCCTATTTTGAGGGAATCGAGGATGTTCAGTTATAATGTTTTTCACGTTTGCTTAAAAAAGGTAGAGTGCATGTCAGCTGGGGCAGGGGATTGCTCTGGATCATTAGAAAAGATACCGATCACCAAACTCAGGCCCCGGGGACGTCTTTAAAGGAGCCCCTGTGCCCAGGAAGCAGCCAACAAAGGAAGCTGTTGTGTTGTACTGCTATTCATAAGCTCACGCTGCTTTAATTCTGTGCAGCTCCTATTATATTCCCTCTGTGCAGGAAACACAAACGCACATACACGCAGTTATCCAAAATAAGCCCACCACCCGTCCCAGACAGCCACCCCATTTACCACAGTCACAGTGGCACGAAACACCCCACAGGTACTGCTTTTCCCATCTACGCTGACAGCTCCAAACGATCTCCACGCCCGGCTCCTCGTGGTTTCCACCTTATCAAGCTCCTCATTTCTCGCACTCTGTGGACGAATCATTCTCTCTGTGACTTGTGAGTGAGTGGAAATACACTGTAATGAATTCTGCAGAACAACAGTGACTTTTAAGAAAAGCTCCAAGCATATTTTGTGTCTCTTTCTCCCACATGGAAAATTGTATATTCAGCTCCTCAGAAGTAACGCTCTAGTTGCAGCGTAGACAGAATGTTTTGGGCCGTTGTAGTGAAAAACACAGACACACAGGCAGACAGGCGGCGTCCGACCGGAGCTCTTAAAGGGACAGCGTTGATCCGTCCGGCTGAACTCTGTGACTCGGACTCCCCGAACCGTCGAGAACAGAGGCTTTGGTTTGGAGCGAGCGTACGTGCACGCACAGCGGTACTGCTGTCACATCCAGGAAAGAGGAAACTCTTTTTAGACCAGCAGAGGAGGATGAAGATGCAGTTATGAAGCGTTTCTTCACATCTCTCTTAATATAACATAATACACAGTATAATAACATGCACTGAACCACCACTCACAACCACCAGCACTTTACACACCTCTGTAGAAATCATCCACATATCTCACTTACCTGCACTGCTGTATAATTCTGTGTAAATAATCATTCTGTACAATACAATAATTTTTAATTCTACTTAATTCTGCACTTCTGGATGGATGCAAACTGCATTTCGTTGCCTTGTACCTGTGACGTGTGCAATGACGATAAAGTTGAATTCTATTCTAATATCTACCTGGAAAAATGAATTACAGGGCAGCTTCCATCATATCTAACACCTCTCATGTCTTTGTTGCTTTAGATGCGTGCTAACAGCGCTGCACATGCACACATGCACAATGCTGGAGGCACCAAAGGGAGGCAGGGTCTCCTACTCAGCAGTCTGTTAAGAGTCCCAGCAAAAACATCATGATGCAAACCGATGGGTGGGCCATGCTCACGTTGGACGGCGTGGGTGTGAAAGCAGTGGCGGACGGGGCGTGCTCGTGTCTGTCTGGGTGGAGCTGCTGCCAGATGATGACACATGTTCTCGTTATAACCAAAACAGGCTGTAATGTCGCAAAAATCAACAGATTCCCAATGACGACGTGGACATCGAGCCTCGTTCCAGGCCGTGGACGTCACCTGGCGACCAACCAATATTTCCATTTTGTGTAGTTCATTGGCACATAACAACCAAGGCATTCTTGACATGCCTGAAAGTATTGCCCAGGATTACGCATCGATGTGCAAGGACGCACAAAAAACAACAACACGCGCACATAAAGGCTGCCGTTCGGCCTCGGGGTGTGTGACTGAGATTTACAGCGATGCTCTTTTGCGTCTAAGCACGCGATATTCCCCGCAGGCTGGCGAGATGCATTTCTCTCTAAAGCGCGTGACGATTAAATGCTGTTACCTTTTCTGCTGTTTGTACTAAAAGCTTTAAAACGCCTTGGTTGGTATTGTTTATCTAATAAACACACAATATGACTCCGTCTTCTCTGTAACATCATGTCTGCACCTGGAAAAAGTAACCCGTCTGTACACTTTGCTGGTAATGAGCCAGAACCTTCTGCACGTATAAACACTAACGCGTGTTTGCGCACGTGCAAATATATAAACAAAAAACGCACGCGCACAAACGCAGGTACGCCAGAAAAACACAAACACCATCAATCATTCAGCCACCTGTGGCTGCAGCGCACAACCTGCTGCTGTTAGAGCCAACGCTGCTTTTCCTGTCACACTCGCCACTTTTAGTCTTTCTCAACAGTCCTAACCATCTGTCTGCAAACTTCACTCCACTTCTTCTTCACGCTAGGTGACGACCCTTTTTGCAATCAAGAAGTAAATAAGGACGATGGACTGTTTGTGCCAAGCTGTGTTCAAAGAAAAGAAATAATTAAGTCTGAAACGCGTCTCTATCGATAGCGTCGGCCACAGACAGACTGCGGGAGGATTTCTCCGAGCTGCTGCTGAGACAAACGTGTTGCCCTCGCTGCCTCGGCTGTATGTGTGTGCACTGGAAGCATGTAAACACACGCTTTCTTCGAAACAAACGCACGTCCTGCGTGTTTAGCAACAGCTACGAGACGGGATGTTCTTCTCTCCTTCACGTAGAAAGCTGAATATGCTGTGAGGTAAACAGGTTGGACGTCTGTTTATTAAAAGCTCTTGTCACATTTAAGACATCAATAAGACGAGGTTACACGTGCACTGTGGAAAACTGAAAAAAGAGGCTCCAGATTTCTAACGTCGGTCACAGCGATGGCCGCCGCTCCCCGAGCCTGGATCTACCCGAGATTTCTTCTTCCTGTTCATAGGGTTGGGTTTTTTTAAACGCTCCCCAATATCGTCGAGAGTTTGCTTTTAGCGCCGTGATTACCAAAGTGTGGGCTGCGGCCCCATGGTGAGCCACGGAGGTACTGCAGGTGGGACGCAGTCAAAACTGAAATTCACGTTAAAGACATACAATTGTGTACAGCTACATGTATTTCTATACATTTATTAAAAGTGGTCATAGGAGGTGGTTAGTTTGTGATATTCCTCATTACTCTGACTTTAATTTTCTGCTCCTGCATTGAACTTGGTCTCCTGGCTGTATATGACCGTGGCACTGCTGTGTGGTTGCTTTTCATTTTTTAAGGTCTTTAATTCCAAAATAAAGAGTCTTAAGGGAGAGCTGTTGTGAATTAACATTTTTATATATTTATATATAAATAAATAAATAAAACTGACTCTTAAACCCTTTCTGAAATGCACACAGAGTGTTTTGCTAAATTTCCCATGAAAACTGCAGGAGACGCGCTCACCAGCACAGACTGTTTAAACATCACTGGGAGCACAGGATCCTCATATGTGGTTTCCAGACGAATCAAAACTCTCAAGTGTTTTTTGCACGCAAAATAAAACCTCATTTAAGCAAATTAAAAACACATAATCTCCGTACTAAAAGTTTTATGAACTTCTCTGGACAGCGTTGTGCCTTCGCCGATGCAGCTGAGTAATCACCGAGAACAAAATGTGACGGAGGCCGTGAAAACAAACCGGGGACGTATTTGCAGCGGCTGAGATCAGAGGACTAATTTGCATATGAAATCATGTAGCTAATGCCTAAATGGAAACTGTGTCTTCAGCGCTGCGTGGTAACTTCTCCTGCAAATATTGCCTTTTCTTTATTTGATGTGCTGCTGAGTTTGTGACTCATCCAGCTCAGGTTTCCAGTGAAATAGTAACGCACGGTTACTAAGGACTGCACAAAGCGGGGCCAACCATCACATACAGGTTGCCCTGTGCCTGCGTGTGCTTTGCTGTATTTATGCTCTCTGTCCCATTTCAGATTCGGTGAACACCTGAGCAGAAGACATTAAGAGGCAACACGAGGAGAAGCTGGAGCAGACGGGGACTTACCTGCATCGCTACATAACTTATCGAGTGTAACAAACAAATGTAAAGTTCCCTTCTGTGCAAATGTGTTCGGTGACCACAGAGTGGCGGTGGGATGACATTTACAACCATGTGACGACAGCTACCATCAGCGAGGTTTGTGCGTGCGTTTGTGTGTCAGCCAGACGTACGTAGTGGAATTTATACTGGAATATCCGGAAGGGCACTCTGGGATACAGGCTCCGCTGTGGATGACGTATTCATGGCAGCCCGAGTCCCGGTCCTGGTTTTGTTTCCGAGTCTGCTTACACTGGTTGTGGAGGTCCTGAGTATAGGAACAAGTACAACAAGTGGGGGGAAAATGTAATTACACGAGTTTATTAATGAACTGGTGATTAACTGCAATTATTACCAACCTGACAGAAAGCAAAGCTGACACAGCGCCACCCTCTGAAGATATAGTATCCAGGAGGACATTTCTCTACGCAGGCGTTCCCGTGCTGGAGGTTCCTGCAGGCCACGCAGCTGCTGGCGTTACCCGGCTCAGAGCAGCTGCCCAGGCACTGGTCGTGGCAGCACTGGCCCTGGGGGGTGCAGGCACTGTGCTTACAGTTGTCCACGCACACTAAAGGAGACGAGCAGAAAGGGGGAAGAGGCGGTTAAATGTGAGCTCATACATATTCTCCTCATACGCGTTTTATCCCGCTTCCCCCGCCGGCGTCACCGTTCGGACAGCTTCTGTGACGAGCTCAAACACAAGGCTGCGCTGACAGCGATATTTCTCACTGCTGCTCCTTTTAGCATCTCACAGCTCACCAAACATCACAGCGAAATGGCCACCAAGCTGTGGTTCGCACTGATCTGAGAGCAGCGAGTGAACCGCGTGCATATTGGGTGTTTATATCCACACGTGAACTATAAACAGGTGTGTATGTAGTTGGCCTTTTGTTATTGCTGCAGTCGCTCAAAGAGAAAACGGGAGCGTGCGCAGCCATGAGGAAGAACACAAGATGGAAAACGTCTGACCTCCACACAAAGGTCAAAAAACCCAAAACACGAGGACTTCCTTGTTCGCTCGCTGGTATTTGCATCACTGACTTTGTCATCTCACACCTGAGAGAAGCTACAAAGGCTCGTCTGCTCCTCAGGCACGCACATCCCAGTGTTCACTGCAAGTGGATACTGGGATACTGGGAGGGGTTGAAGGAGCAGAGGGGGGGTGTTTGTATGTGACGTGGACTGAACTGACTAACATGTTATTAGTAAGTATGCGCTTTACGTACTTCATGGACACATGACTGCACAAATCAAACCAGCTCAGGCTGGAAAACTGCACGACTTCACCTGAGCAGTTTACGCCCGAGGGTCAGCAGCAGCCCGCGTTGCCAAGGAAACCGGCTTAATTGCTGAAAGGCTGAACACTATGTGACACGGGCTCACGCCAGAGTTTTTGGACCTATTGGGAAAGAGCCTAAGAGTCAGCTGTGATCAGATTAGCAGTCCGGTCTGACCCGCTGACTGTAGTAGTCTCTGACCACAGACTCATTAGATCTCACGTTACACCGACCACCAACCTTTTTATCATCGGCGCCCACAGCGCTGATAAACTGCCCTCAGCTGTGCAGTGGAGAAGTAACAACTGAAGGCTGGAAGTTGGTCTTCATAGTAAAATATTGGCAATAAAAGAAGATTGAACTGATCAGTATTTTAAGCCTGAAAGTTCAGCAGGTGTTAGAGAAGGTGGTAAAAATGTTACAAACACTGTTTCAGAGAGTTCCCCTTAATTCAGAGCCTGTTCAGTAAAACACGTCTCGTCTCGACCGGACGAGCCCTTCGGTCATCTCACCGTGTCCCCGGCGGGTTCAGCTCTGATGCCGTGTGTTAACAGGACAAACGGATGTAAAACAAGCTTCAAACATTTTCATGTTCCTCTGTCCTGCTTTAGTCTGGAGGATGAGGGCTCCGTGTCCGTTAACCCACGTGACGTGTGCTTGTATAGCGTGTGCGATGTCTGAATTGATCGCGTGAGCCGAGCTGCGATCGCTCTTCTAGCAGCGAAGAACTGAAGGGGAAACATTATTCAGGTGTCACGCTGATGAACAGCCTAAAAAGGTGCCAGGGGGGCAATGTTTGCAGCTTTTGTGGGATGCAGCCTCTGTTGAGGACAACTCTTGCTGCCAAGGTTACATCCAGGGCCCCCACCTTCCCACCCCAGCATGCCTCCTTTTGCACGAGAGGGCGGCCCATTGTGCTGCCTGAGTAAAAGCGGAGGGGACAGACAGGGTTGTGGCAAGGGGTGAGGATGGGGTGGGGTAACGAGGTTAAAGAAAGGAACAATAATGAAGGGAGCAGCCGGGGGAAAAACCCCGGAGAGGGAGAATGACTAATGCAGGGAAAAACACCATCTCCGTCCTCTGGGGTAGTTCATGCGGAGGTCGCTCCTCTACATCTTCTTTACTAAGTGCCGTTAAGACGCCGCTGCTGCGCACAACCGAGAAGAATGCACAGCTCCTCCCCGCCCTCACCCTCCACTCCGCCGCATAATGGTGAAGGGGAGGGCTGATCCAGATCCATGCCGGAGAATCGCTCCAGCCCTCTGGATCCACCCTAAGCTTTAGCCAATGTGCTAGCTGGCTGGGGGAGGCAGCCACTGAATGGTCTCTTCCATGTTGGAGGGGAGAGACTCCCAGGGTTAACCCTGGCCGTGCTGGGACAGGTGGGAAGGAGCAGATGCAGCTAAGAAGCCAACACGCCAGGGAAGACCGGCTGCCGAGGGGGGGCCAAGCTAAAGGCTCGATCCGTTTACCCAAAGCCAGAAACAGAGGCTCATTTTTTTCAATCAAATCCACGAGACGACAAAATGTCTGTTATTCTTCACAGAAGCAGCGTGCAGTTTGCACATGTGCAGCACAAACACCACCACTGCAGCAGGACCGTGTCTGCTCACACTAACGCGGGTTAGCTACTATGCCAAACATGCTCGCTCACTCATCCCCTCCTACTCCAGTGTCCTCTCCATCCCAGTCTCACCCTGCCCTGCACCACTATCTACCGCTCTATCTGCCTGCCTGCCTTTCTAGGCCACTCTGCCCCTCCCACTTTCATTCATACAGCGCCTTGTTTTGTTTTCATGCTGGGTGGGGAAGGGGAGGGGGAGCCACGGACGAAGGGATGATTTCGCTGGCACAACAAGACGAGGAGGCAGCGGCAGCATCCTGGAGAGGTTCTCTCTCATTAAGCCAAACACAAACACACGTAAAAGCTCTCAGTGTCATTGAATCACTTGCCCGCCTCCTCCTTACGCATGCACACAGTTCCAGTAAAGGTGTTTAAACGCGAGGCGTGATCAAAGGTGTGCCTACGTTTACCTTTCATTTGGCCACGGCAGTAAAAGCCCCGGCTGCTCGATCCTCGGGGGAGAACGCGGGAGAAAGCCGGGCAGCCAATAGCGTGCAGCCACACACGCAACACTTCCTGCTCATAACACTTAAAACCTCCCCTTTAATTGGCCGCGGTGTCTACAGGCAAAGAGCTGGGAACAATAACAAACAGGTTTTTACCCCAGAGCTGCTCACTCAGGACACGCACGCTCTTACTCATCCACACACAGTTTACTATATTTGGCCACGGTGGGAGTCCTGAGCTTCAAACGCACTGCTATAAATGCTTGGAGTGATCTGATGTAAGATATTTGTCCTGAGGGACTGGAGGGAGGGGAACGGGTGTAAACAAAAACACGCTGATTGCTGGGAGGGACCAGAGTGACACCGGCGTCGTCAAGAAGCACGAAAGCCACGCCGCCGTTCACGGAAATGCAACACAGGCTACGGAAAGAGCAGAGGGGGGAAAGACAGGAGGTGGAGAGGAAGACAGAGAACAGCTGACGTGAGGAAGCAGAAGGTGGAGGAGAGTCGGGCTCTGACGAACACCAACGTCCGATCTTTTCTAACCCTTTATGCTTCGAGCCGATATTCCCCCACAGGTCACACACACGCACCAATCACGCCGTCTCTCCTGTCAACAATCAGTCTAGTGGCTGAAGTCCGAATGAGCGACTGCAGAATCGAGGCTGAACACCAGTGTTTGAACAAGCCCGTCTGTTCTCTACTCATTTTACCTCAAACGAAGAAGAACAAAGTCTTAAATCCTTGTGAAGCACCACAGCAGGTTTGTTACAAAAACAACCATCCGTGGCATAAAACAACAAAACTTTATTCGTTTTTAATCTGCCAGAAAAACGCACGCCGTCCAGCACTTTTTATTTGGTGAGCTGTTGCCAAAGAAACGAGACTAACTTCACAGTGCAGCGAACCAGAGGAAGAGCTGCAAACAACGTTATTCAAACGAGCTCTCAGGAACTGATCGCCGTTTCCTGAGAAGCGCTCCGTGTGTCACTTCTAATAAGTAAATACTGAGACAGCCGACAGGAAAAACAAACTGCAGGCAGCGTATCGCCACCACAGCTCCTCCCTTTCCATCGGCGTTACTTTTATAATCCTGTGGATCCGTCACCGACTCAGTGACCGTGTGACGCTCACACACTGGAGCCCGGATCCAACATGTTTGGACATCTAAATGAAACCGGGTGGTTTACCGAGCCACGGGGTCTGACTTTAGCATCAGGTGTGGGGTTGGGTGGTGCAGCGGTGAGCAGGGTCACCTTACAGCGGGAAGATTTTGGCTGTGAACCTGCTGCTGACCTGGAGGCTTTTTGGGACGATGGACTGTTTGTGCCAAGCTGTGTTCAGAGAAACGCTCACGACCTTTATCTATAACAAGAAACCTGATACAAAAGTGGCACGAAGAACAAAGGGCAACATGTGTGCTGGCAAAATGAAACGAGGCTGGGTTACCGAGGGTGGAAGTGGCTGGAAGAGCAGGGCCTGGTTCATCACGAGTTCAGCCTTCGCTTTAGGTCAAACCTTAGAAAACAGAACACACACAGGCTGTAGTGTCATTACGGCCTGTGTGCTTTGTTTTTATCAGGGTATATACCTCACAGCGCACTATTCTCTCCTATCGCACGCTCCTGCCACATATCTGACATGCCCGTCTCAACATGTCGACTCTTTCCACTTCCATAAACAGAAGCGTTCTGCCGGTCTCCCCAAACGAGTGTCAAGAAGCAAGGCCCGAATATCTGCACCTCCTTCTCTGATAGCCCGTCATCATGACCCTGCAGCGCCCCAATGGCCGAACAAGCACACGCGTGCTTTATTGTACAGCCGTGCAGCTATAGCGCTCCTTCTACAGCTGCGATTCAGTGCTACAAAGTTTAATCGAAGCGTCCATCGATCGCAATGAAAGGAAACTGAGTCTGTGAGAACGGAGAAACCTTCTCCACACATGGCCAGACTTACTGTTTTTCCTTATCTCTTGTGATCTCCAGCTCGGCCTGCTGCAGCTGAAGCTCTCCTTAACGTGAGGCTAATTCATTTTCACGAACGCAGACACGAAGATAAACAGTTTGAAAAGGGGGGAATGTGGTTTAATGAGCGTGGTGTCGCTCCCCGCTTTGTCTGTCTGTTCATCGATTTCCTCGTCTGTGTCTTCCTGTGCGCCGGCCAGCCCTGCTGGCCCGTCCTGTTACCATGGAGACGAGTCCAGACATAGACCGTCTGCAGTAATTAGCTGCATGCTCCCAACAGGCATTTTCTTAGATTCCCCTCTGGCTGTGTTCGTGTCCTGTCTTTCACGGTAACGCCTCACCTTCGCGTCATCTCTCTGCCCCGTAAAGATTTACAACCACTTTGACCTTTTCCACTCTGCTTCTTCTTCTTTCTTTCCCCCCCTCTTGACCCTCCTCGGCACCTTCCTTTCCCTCGGTCCCACCCCACCGTAGTGCGTCTCGTCGCAGGTGATAAATCACCCCGCCGAGAAAACCCCAGTCACCGGATCTCACTGCAGATGCTCAGGGTGGAACTGAACTCACACTCACACACTCTCTGCAACTTTCTGATGCTCGTGTCGTTACCGACCTCCGAACCTACTGATCCGTGTTAACCCTTATCCTGCGACGAGCCACGTCTCCTTGCTCTCCCCTCCTCTGTGACGCAGCTTTAATTTGTCGCACTGCCACCAGCTCGAGCTTTTCTGACATTAGACGCAAACATGAAATACACCCGCAAATAAAAACAACACACACACACACACACACACACAGAGTGGTAGACAAAACAGTCAGACATCACTGAGATCAACATAAACTCACACACACAGAAGTCTTGCAGGATTTGCTGACTGGGTAGTTTGGTGGGAAGGTGATGGAGAGACGCAGCGGACAAAACATTCATCTAGACAGTGAGACACCTGCATCACAGACCTCAGGATTTTCCTTAACCCAGAGGACTACTCGTATCCACACACACACACACACACACACACACACACACACACACACACACACAACACACCACACACACACACACACACACACACACACACACACACACACACACACACACACACACACACACACACACACACACATAAAACTCAGACACAAACAGCCTTTAACAGTTTACGATGAATCGATCACAGGCCCAAACTCTGCCGTCAGACGGAGGAACCTGAACACCTGCGTGGACTCAGCTGCAGCTCCTGTTTGTCTGAAGCTTACATGTAAAACACTCTGCAGACGGTGACTCGACACCTTTGCTCGGCGCTGCTCGGTGCCGTTTTATGGACCGTAGCTGTTCTTGGATAAATACCCGTCCACATCGGGTTAATTTAATCGGCGGTGCTGCGCCGTGGCCCGCTCATGACTAAGGTGTTTTTTAAAGCATTCTCCTTCTGCTTCAGCCGCCCATTATCTCCTCACATTAGACACAGAGAAAGTCAAAGACACAACTCAAATTGCTCTCTGTCCTCGAGTTTTTCAAAGGCCCGATTGTCACAGTTCTCCCTTCCTCCTGTCCTCTTTCCTCACTCCGTCCTTCTTTCTTCCCTGCCTCCTTTCCTCTTTCAGGCTTTCTTGTATTTCAGGGGCGTTGAGTTCGCGTAGACCTTCTGACCGAGGCGAGGGCTGCGTGGAGTCCAGGATGCCAAGAAACTGGACTTTTTACCGAAGCCTTGAAAGGACATGAATAAACTGTATAAGTAATGAATAAACAGATTATCTGATTAAATTCTTGTTATTAAGACACAAATGAACCACTTAAACTTTTGCTTGTTGTGTGTTTCTCTGGTTGATAACATTTAATGTACAAACCAATAATGAAACTGGACCATGTGGCCTTTATTCAGCGACACGATGAAAGCTGGAGCCAAGTTTCTGTTTTCCTTTAACTGGGTTACACTCGGCAGCACAGATGCTGCGTGTAGATTAAAAGGTAGCAGCGAGCATGCGCAGACAAACACGCACAGAGCGTCTGCAGGTAAACACGACGTCTGCCTGAAATCAAAAGCAGGACAAACAAGGAAATGATTTCACACAAACAAATGAACAGACAAGAAAACACGAGCGCGCGCACAAAGCTCCGTGCTGGTGTGTTTGTGCAGGCCGACCAGCTGCAGCGAGCAGCAGTCACAGTGTGAGGCCAGGGCGGGATGGCTGCACTGCAGATGCTGGCTGTCCTATTTCATATTCACAGCATAGCACTACATAGAGCCACGGTGCATGGGGAGAGGTGTGCGCACGTGCGTGCACGCGCAGAGAAGAGCACAATGTGGATGCACATGTCAATCGTGCAGCTTCAGAAAAGATGGGAGGGCTTCTAAAGACTTGAGGAATTTCAAGGGAACGCTTCGTTCCGACAGATGGAAAAATATAGGCGGCAAAAAACCAAAACAGCTAAAGTTAAAGAGCTCTCAGTTAAAAACATGCCCCCTCTGCTCTTTTTACAAAAATCGGAAGACTCCCATCCTGCCCGTCTCCTCCTTCCACTCGCTTCCCACAGGGCCTCAGGAAGAAGCTTTTAGTCTGGGAGGAAGGAGGGAAACTCTTCATCACGACTCGGAGAAACAGGCCTGTCACATTCCCAAACTGAAAACACAGCACACGGCTCACGTGTTGCAAACATGTTCTAATGACGTTCCTTTGTTGGAAGAAAACGGACCCTTCCTTCGTGCCCTTTAACCCCTGACCCGACACAACAATGGTGGTGCTGTTGCTGCTTGACTAAAGTCTGGAAGAATTACATTCGATAAAGGGCACAAATCTTTGTAGCGTAACAGGCTGACAGTAAATAAGATCAGGTGCACAACGGTGTGTAGAGAGCAGCCACCGACCTGAAACGTACCTGGTTACAAACTGTAACATATACAGATTAGAACATTTTTCCCAAGGAAAAATAAAGCTGTGGTTATCAAACGGTGAGAGCCATCTTTCCATCAGCGCAGCGAGCAGCCAATGAAAACAGCTGAGACACCCGACCGTGGTGTCTCCGGGGGCCGGTGTGGCTCATCATGGAGGGTGTTAGTCATAATCACAACAGTGACTCAGACTCACATGGATCAGAGGACTTTGGGAAATATCGAGACATCCCGTACTCTGGCGTTTCATCACGTTCCCCTTTTTCTTTTGTCCTGAACTGGAAGTGCTGATGACACCAGTCAAACCTCAGGACTGAATCCACCAGGAGAGAAATGCGTCTCTCCCACCAGCACCGACTCTGCTCCAGTCCCACCTCACTGTGAGCGGCGGCCGTGATGTCATTTCTATGCGACACAAACAGAAGCCAACGATGGAGGCGATGCTACACCGGCTTGTAAACGTCTGCACGGTGTTGATTTAGGTGCAGCCGTTACCTTCGTTGCCAGGTTTCAAAAAATGGCAGATTTGAGTCTTGTGAAGGAGTCGCTCTCGTGACTCATCCTACCACGTCACTTCCCGGCCAATCAGTGGCATGCAGTCTGCTGATGTCATATTTTTGGCCCAAGTCATCTCGCTTCAAACCTCAAAAACCTATCACGGTCGAGTCGAGATAACTGCGACTGGAAGAGAGCGTTGGCCGTGCACTGACGGGATTCGAACTACCGGCTACATCTCTGGGAACAAGCTGTGCCATCAGGTGACCAACAAACGGTTCAACTAAATCCAAGTGTCCCAAAAACATCCTGTTCCTGTGTGAACAGGAATAAAACACATACCACAGAGTTTACATGTTCAACAGGACCCTAACGTCAGCTGACTGGGATGATAACTTACTGTCTGCTCGCCGATCCACCACTTCAACATTAATGGAGCGCACGCCGCTCTGAAACCTCCCCTAATTAAAATCTTAGTTTCAATAACTGCCAGAATGAAGAGAGTTGCCATAAGCACACAATTAACTGCCAAACAGAGAACCGGGGGATTACACGCGTGTGCATGCCTATAACGACAAGCTTTACATATGGAGGGGAGGAGACGCATCACTACAGCTTACCAGGAGCCACGCGTATCATGCAGCAGCACCTAGAGTGATAGGGACGCGCTAGAATAAGATCTGATCTGACGCCCTGTGCCCTGGCATGACGACGGCGCTGACGAGCGCCAGGAAGGAAAAGCAGAGGCCAGTGCAGCCTGCGCGAAATGCACGCAGCGATACGGACACACGGGAGAGGCGACGGGTGAACGGAAGGTGGAGGGCGAGGCGGAAGGGTGAAGCTCAAAGGGAGGAAAACGCGCTGAAAGGAAAGATCCAGAAAAAAGCCTGGGGTGCGAGGGGTCGAGCAGGCGGTGCAGGCACGCGGCCACTGCGGGGGAAACACTTAGCGAAGTACGACAACCAAACCACGTGGATTTACCAGCACAGAGCGGCAGGACTGCGTCCCCTCCCCCAGGCTCGTTTTCCTCTCCTCGAATTTGTGGGGCGTCTCCTCAAAAGCAAGATTAAGTAGCCGACATGTTATTCACTTACAGAGTCATTACGATGGTCATACATTTATGGTCTATTTAAAATATCTAAAATATTACCAACAAACATGTTCTTGCATTTATATGGACACCTGAAAACTATAATTAATACATTCACTCACTCTGGTTTACGAGCCGTTATCTAAGTAAACGCCCTCAGAAGTATCAACACAGCTGTTTGAACAAATTAGCAAAACAAATAAAACTTTGCTTTAGCGTAAAAACATTATTTGTAAAGAGCACTACATGAAATATTGAAGCCCGTCATATATCTGCTTCAAAGTACATGACAGGAAGTCCAGGTTAGTGCCACCCTCACCGTTTCTGTCAGGAAACCTGCCGAAGCTGCTTTTTCACCGTTGGCAGCAGAAGACAAAGAAACAAAACCTTTAATTTCTGCAAATGTGAGTCTGAACTGAGTAATCCTGAATTCTGCGTTTCAATATTCCCTCAAAGTATCCAAAAAACAAACATCTTCATGTTTATGGCCCACTTTCATGTCATAAATAAT